CGATGTGGTCAGGACCCCGGCGGGGGCAGGGGTCGGTCGCGGCCCCCGGATGAGCAGGGGCATCAATGCCAAAGTCGCGTTGGCCCGCGGGCGCTGGATGGGTCTTCCGTCGCAGTCCTTGAGCAAGACGCACAGGCCTTCGTCTATATAGTCCCGGTGGCCGATAAGGGCAGCTGCTGGTGCGAGGGCGGGCCCAGGTGGCGCGTGCATTCGCGTGTTGTCGCGCTCCAGGCGGTCGGGGGGATGTCTGGCGGTGCCCTGCGGGGGTTAGTCGACGCGGCAATTCCAGCGGGTGTCGCAGCGAACTCCTGCGGGGGAGGGAGGCGGCCCTCCGCCATAGCGCTGCCAGGGTCAGAGCTGGGTTGAAGCCCCGCCGGGCGCAGCAAGCCCGCCCGGGCCGCTGCGTAGACAAGATTAGCGACGTCAATGCCCATATCCAACATGGCTGACCAACTTCGGGCACTGCTCGCAAAGGTCAGCGGGCGAGTCCCCAGGGCCATGCATGCGGGGGCGTTGGCTGAGGACGTAGTGCAGCGCGGCGGCTGGAGCCGGATCGTTCAGCACCTGCGCGCCTGCCCCCCGTGGCTCTTCACTCACCCTGTCCCAACTGTGATCAGGGAGGTGGGCGGGGAGTAGCGCAGGGTCTTGAAGCAGCAGGCTCGCTGGTCGGCAATCCGCCGGCACTTCTTCTCGTCCCTGCGTGGCTCCTGCTTCGCTGCCAGCCACGCCTGCTCCTCGTGGGAAGGTGCCAGGGTGTGAGAGCCGATAGGGCCTGCCCGTGCTCTGGTCGGCGAGAGGCCGGGGGCCTCGCCGAGCGCGCCCCGCTTGCCTGGGGCCCCGTCGAACCCGGTCCGGAGGCCGGCTGATTCTGCCCACTCTGCGAGGGCGTGCACTTTGGATTCGGTAGCCGGAGCCGACATCGCGGCATTTAGCACGGCGATGGCTCCGCCCTGCGCCCGTGCAACGGAAGCGCTGATGCGATGGGGGTCGCCAGTGAAACCCAATTGCCCGGTGGAGTTCGCGCGGGCGGCGCAGAGGACTACTGGGTTGGCCTCGCCCCCGCGGGCCCCATCGATGGCGGGCACGCAGACGAGGCCTCGCTCCATTAGGCGGGGGGCAGACCGCTTCGACGCCAGGGAAGGAGAGCCCCAGGCCGGCGAGTTCGGCGTGGGGGTAGCGCTTGAAAATCGACCCAGGGAGCGGGGCCCTGCCTTTTATCGGATCGCTTGGCGAGGCGATGTCCCTGACGTGTAGCCGCCCGAGAGAGCGCTGGGGTGGCCTGGGGGGGGGGGGGGGCGCGCCCTTCCCTTTCCCAGTGTCCTGGCATGCGTTAGGGAAGGCGGCTGCGTCGGCAGGCCACCCAGTCTCGATGAAAGCCACGCGGGCGCGGTGCCCGCATACGATCAAGACGCGCTTGCCTGTGTCCAATAAATGCCCCTCGATGGACTTGACGATGTCACAGACCGCGGCGGCCCCCCTGAGGTTGGCGGCGCCTTCAGCCAGAGGGGCTAGCGTTAGCTCGGCGGCATCTTCGTGGAACAGCAAGGCCCGCGTGGACTCGCCTAGATGAGCCCCGTAATGGGGGTCGCGGAAGCCTTGGGTCCCGATGTTGACTGGGTCGCCGTCGCCGTCCAACGAGGGAGGCTCATTGGGGGATTGCTGGACTGGGTCGGCTCGCCCCCATGGGATCCCGATGATAGGCGGCCTTTGCGCGAGTGCGTGGATAAGGCCGGAGAAAAATGCTCCCTTGTGGAAGGTGGCAGACGCCCATTGCAATATACTGGGGGGCATGCGGTAGCAGAGGCTGAGCAGCACGTTTTGCTGGTCGGACGTCCCTGGGGAATCGTGGAAGCGAGCGAGCGCCGAGATCCCTTGGCCGAAAGACTCGGCGAGGGCGGACACGACCGCGGGGCACAACTCGCTTATGTCCCCACATCAGCACCAAGCGGCCTCCGCTGTGAGCCGTGAAGGAGCGGGGGATGGCTGCGAGGGACTCGGTTGACTGCCCGACATCATCTAGGATGGCGATCTGCAGTTTCGGGTTGTCGGGGTCGTCGAGCCCCGCTGCTAGCTCGAGCGTGGCAAGCACGAGCCGGGCCCTGGCAAGCGCCTGCTTCCTCTCGCGGGTAATTGCCTTGGGGCCGATATCACTGAGAGACATGGTGTAGGTTTTCCTGCATCGCTCAGTTGGGGTGGGGTCCCGGGCAGCGGGGTTGGTGACCTTGTCACGGTTGGCCAGTCTGACAGCAACCTCGGGGAAGCCACAGCCCCTGTTCAGCTTGCCGCCCTGGCGGGCGTCGGCGAGGTACTTCGCAGGCATGTCGGCCCGACATCCCAGTCCTGCGGGGCGCAGGCCATCCATAAGTCGATCAGTGCTGCCACGGTTTCGGTCTTGCCAGTGCCGGGGGGTCCATGTACAAGGAGCACCATTGCGTCAAGGGACATGCGGAGTACCTTGGCCTGAGGTCCGTTCAAGCCGCGTCGCTTGGCCGCGCCCTCGGCCAGGCGCGGGGCGGCGAGGGGAAAGGGCGCTGAAAATGCCGGGCCATTCATCCATTTCGGTGTCTCCGATGGGTGCGCTGCCTGGGGCTGGGGGGTGGTTTTCTGGGCCGGGGGGGGGCACATGTTGAGCGTGGCTGCCGCGCGTGCTCCAAGTCGTCTCCCCGGATTCATACATTGCCTGGCGTAGTGGACGCTGGCCTCGTCCTCGGCGGAGGCAGCGCGGGAAGCCATCAGGTTGGGGGTGATGTGGATTGGGATGCCGGTTCGTATCGTCGGGTTGGACTTCGAGCATGAAAACCGCTGCATTACGACCCAAACTCTATATGATTGGGTTTGGCCCGGGCGCTTGTCTACACGATACCAGCCCTCGCCAGCGGGGGGGCACTCGTAGGGAGAATCGCCGGGGTGCATAGCATGCCCTCTCCTGGCGTCGAGGCCAACGACGATGCGGTCTGTGGGGCACCTGGCATTGGGTGCGCCATCGGCGCGTGCGCCAGGGGAGGGGGGCCAAATGGGTCGCACCTCGCTCAGGCGACCGGTGAGGGGGATCGCCGAGAGACAAGGAGTGAGAGGTCCTTGAGGTCTTCCTTGGCCCACTCGATGCGCCAGTGGCCTCGTTTAGATTGGATGTAGTATTCCCATTCACCCTCGCGGTGGTCACTTCGCCTGCGCTGGAGGTTCCACCCGCGCACGGTGGGGTGCGGAGAGCCCGGATTGTACTTATCAGTGGCAACATCCAAAGCACACGAAGCCTTCCTGCGAAGCTCGCCGCGCACCTTCGGAAAGCCGTCATCCTCAGGCTCCAACCAGCCATGAGCTTAACCTCGTAGATATGGGATAATTTCCATCTCTTGGCGTGGACATCCACTTGCCATCCGCGGGGCATGGGGGACTCCCGGGATGGGGCCAACGGGGCGCTGGATGAGCTGCGTTGGGGGGCGATGCGGGACGCTGGACGCGGGTATCACTACATGTCCCGTATGGCACGCGCGGCACGCAGGCCTGGGGGTGCTTCCATCGGGCGGCACGCGCGGCACGCAGGCACGGAGGCGGCCAGAGGCGTGGCCGACGGGCGGCGGAGTGCCTGGCCCGTTGGGGGGTCACACTCAGGTAGGTGGTAGGACTCAAGTCCAGCTGTCCGTTGCGGGGCGAGGGGGCCGGCGGCTGATCCGCTCGCCCACACACACACACACACACGCTTTTTCAGTCGCAGCGCGGCAGAGGCGATCCGCACACGCGCTCTATGTGGGCCGAGCTCGGGCATGCACTCATCGTCTGGCTGCCAGAAGGGGGGACGGGGCCGGAAAGCAACCGCGGAGGTGTCGGGAAAAGAAGAGACGGCGCTCACAGCACAAAGACATTCGATTGGAATGGCAATGGCTTGTGCGGCCAGCCTTTACTAAGGCAGCCTGACAATGGACGCGGAGCGGCATCCAGCCACACCCAATGGCCCAAGGGCAAAGGCAGAGGCTGCAGGCGCAGAAAACAGATACCAACTCGTACCAGTACGGGAGGAAAAGCGGCGAGCGAGCCAACGGAGGCGGGCGGCATCCAGGTGTTCGTCAGAAGGCCGTGAGTGGCAAGCTTTGCTGCAGGCACGTCGCAACGGATGCGGGAAGGCTCAAGCGCCCACAGGGGCTGGGCCAGCGACCAGCACGCGGCAGCAAATGCTGGAATAAAGTCATGCTGAGCTGCTGAGTCCGAGCTCCAGGTCTGTGGCTGCGCTGCCGAGGGCTGCAAAGCACGACCTGCTAGGGTCTGCTGAGCTGCAGTGCGACAACTACTGAAGTGACGCAGCACGACGAGGTGCTGGCAGGGGCCACGGCGGCGCCCAGCAGGGCTGCCAGGGGCCAGCGCAGCTGGGCAGGCGAGAGGCTGCGGATGGGGCCACGCGGCAGGGACACACACGCACACACACACACACACACACACACACATACGACAACACGAGATCTCGCCAGACCCCGACTGTTCCAGGCCCCCCCAGGAGAGGAGAGGATCCGACTTTGGAGCAAGGGGGGCGAAATTGGTTACTGACTAATAGGGGCAACGGGGTAGGCAGGATGCCCTCAACGGTTGCTGGCAAAAACAGCAGGGTGAGGAAGCCCTGCAAACAACCAGAGGACGGGGCAATGAAACGGTGTGACCTGGACAGTGGCGTGCCGCAGGAGGACACAACGAATCAACGACTTGACATGCCAGTGGCCCCGAGCACGTGGAGGGCGCGGACCGTGGAACAAGTAGTGGCCACTTCGGGGGAGGTGGAAACGATAGAGACACATAACGATGACGAGGATTCGCACGGGCGCAAGCAGCAGAGGGGCATGCTCAGATTACGAAGGCTTTGCGTCCAGTGCGGACCACGCAGTTCAACGTGTAGAATACATGCGGCATGACACAAACGCAACAAAAGAAGAATTCAGTGGTTGTCGAGCTCGCGTGAGCGGGCTGCGCCCAAAAGCCGTTCGCGCAGCGGTCTAGCCCGCCGAGCGCGCTGCCGAACGCGTGGTGTTCGCGTAGGCAGGGGCGTCCTGCGCTTCTGGCTCAAACCACGCGATGGAGGCCGCCATGAAGACCTGCTGCGGAGACGAGGGCACGGGGGACACGATTTGTGAGGCGGAAAGGGTATGAGGGGGGGAAGAGCGGGGTTGGAACGACAAACGGCGGGGGATGGGGGACGGGGGGTTCAGGATAAATAATTCTGAATTGCGTGGTGAAAGATCTCGACCAGTGGGTCTGAACAACTATTTCGTCTGGTGCCAAAAAAAACTAGCCCCGCCTCCGACGTTCCGATCCGTGTGAGATGTGCGCCGAAATGTGCTGGTGCACTCTGGCTCTCAGCCAGATGCCTTGCACGCAGGGCGGCAAACGGTGGGCGCGGACACTCCGTCTCCCAGAGCATGTCCGCCAAACGCCGACCCCAGTCCTCATGCGCCGGCGCCTGCGTTGCCATATGGAAAACAATGTGGAATAGAATGGATTCGCCTCTCCTGGGTTGCCCGCCTCTGGTGCGACGCGAAAAACGGTTCATATGTTATTGTCCCCCCCTGCTTTGCCAGTTGCTGAACAGACCGGCTACGAGAGAACACCACGAAGACCCTAACCAAACCATTGGATAGCCTGCGATTGTGTCCCAAGAGGCCTCAGAGAACAGGGCAGCAAAAGGATTCCAGATTGTCTCGAGAGGCCAAACCCACAGGGCCATAATAGTGGGACAAGCGGAACCCGAGACGCACCACGAAAAAAACAAATAGGAAGCCCTGTGCATACAACAAGCAGCACTGGCGCTGTCTATGCTGCATTGCGCTGCTGAATGCTCCCATGCAACGAGCGCCCAGCTACACTCGCTCAGACGAGCACATAAATGCTGCGAGGCCGATCGAAGGAAACACGGACCGACTACATGCCGAGCGGAATATCCTGTTCCACAACTCTGATAGCGGGCGCCTGAAATCGAACGCCCAACCAAAATGGCAGCTGAGGCAACGAACACCCAAATACCATGTACAACTTTGACCCCCACGTGCACACAAGCCAAACGTCCCGCATCCTCCACCCCCCACAGGGGATCCACCCATAGCCTTCCATCCAAGTGGGCAACTGTTTCGGGCTGCGTGCCCATCCATTCAAACAGGGTCGTTACACGATTCGAGTATTGCCCGACGAATGAGTTTGCATAATGCTGGGGGTATGCCTATGAAGTGCATGCATGGTGGACAAGGTGGATAGAACATTGGTCGCATGTTGGAGGCAGGGCGTGTGTAGTGGTAGCCATGCGGTGTTGCAGACGGGAGCAGCTATGAAATACGTTTCGGGACGGGACGTGTGCTGGTTGCTGAGCCACGGAGGAGGATACATACATGTGTAGCAGCTGTTTGAGCGTTGTAGTGCACAATTTGCTGAGGGCAGAAAAAAGATAGACGCGCACGGGTGTAGCCGTGAGCAGGGTGTAGCGGATGGGGCGCGTGTTGGAGTGGATGGCGTGTTGAAGATGGGACGGGCGCTATGTTGGAGAGGGGGCGACGGGCGGAGCCGATGCACCTATACCAGGATACGACTTCGGCGGCGGGATCGGGTGGACCATGTTCGAGATGGAGCGCGTGCGCGTAGCAGTAGCCAGGGTGTCAGACATAGAGAGTAAACACGATCGGTGCGAAAGCGTGTGTGCGTGTTGTGTGTGTTGCGTGTGTTAGTGTATGTGTGTGTGTGTACGTGTGTGTGTTCTTTGGGCGGGGCGGATCGACGGTGCTCTCGCAAGAAGAGGGCATGGTGTGGATCACTGTGCATTTGAACATATGCTCATACTCCTAACCGCTCAGGGCATGAATGCGAACACCACATGACCGTTACATGCGGAAAACATGACGATCGCAACGGGCATCATCCCCGGGCTGTGCCCCGAGGACGACCTGCCTCTGCAGAAGGCCCCGAGGCGAGGGCCTGCCAATAACCGACGAAGTGTTGCTCGTCTTGAAGGGTGGACGGACGGCCAAGGAGCGCCATGCCAAGGTCGAACATGTTCAGGAACAGCTCCTGCAGGTTCCCACACATGTTCTTGAATGGGATCCAGTCAGACTGGTTGGCGTACACCTGAGGTCATCCCAAATCAGCTGCCCAAAGGCAGGGAGGGGGAGAGGAGGGATCGGGGGTGGAGGGGACAGCAGGGGAGGGAGACTAACAACCCAAGGACTGCCGTGGACCAGCAGGAACAGGATGACCAGCTGGCGAGGGGCAACCTGGATCACGAGAGATGGGCAGCAATCCATAACGCCCCACAGAGGTGCGAGCCGAGACACAGGACGCCTCTGCGGCGCTGGAGAGGAACACTCACATTGCCGTTCTGATATGACATGCCGCCCAACAGCTCGTCGCCAGCCGCAGAGGCGATGTACGCCTCGCTCGTACAGGGGGATTCGAGATTCGAGCGGCTGCGAATTCGTGCGCAAGTGCGTGACTGGCCTCGTCGAAGCCATGTCTTCGGCTGCTGTCCTCGCTCATGCGCGGACAGCAGCCTGCGCCAGAATGCCCTGGAAGCTGTCGCCAATTAGGCACCTGCCCAGCTGGGCATGGCCACCACCTGGCTCACGCGGGAGATCCCCCAAGTTGCTCTGGGCAGCGACAGTAAGGGGTGCTGCCAATCCGAACACGGGCCAGCGTTACCCTCCCCAGCCTCGTAGCAACGCTCATTTTCGGCATCGCGGAAGTGCCCCCGCCTGCCATCCCATCCTTGATGCAGCCGCACCCATTCACGCGTTCCCTCCTCGTCCTTTTCCCCGCGACTTCTCCTCCTCATGCTCCTCGGTCCTCTCTGGACCCCGGACGCTGGGATCTTTCAGGACCCTGGAACTGGTGCGGCCAGAACGTAGACACAAGGCTTGAATGATGGTTCCCCCCTCGACTGGATCCGACGGACACAAAACCACACCTGCCTACAGCTGGTCGGAGATAAATGCTGCCAGTCAACCGCATCCTTTCGCTGCCAAACAGGAACTAGGAGCACAGGACGCTGGACTGGTTAGAAGGATGCCCCTTGACCGCCTCACCGATCCTGTCAGGATCCATCCTCGACCCAAGACCCGCTCGACCAGGATTGGTGATGTGGCCAGTTGACGTTCCCCGAAAGGTGTGAACGCATTCGCGCGAGGCGCAGCTACCGCTGCAGATCGTGTCAAGGATAAGGGATGGCGTGAGAAGAATATGAATGATAAGGAGGATAATAAAAAGTAAGAGGAGCAGCGTATGGGTACCGATTGCAACTAATTCGTGTTGGTGCACAGTCTCTGTGACAGCGCAGCTCAAGAACTCCCCCTCGACCCATCATCCTGAAGCTCGGTCAAAGTCTGGTCGGACTCAGCCTGGGTAATAAAGAGCCGCTTGGAGCAGCCGAGGTGATGGGCAAAGAGCCTTGGCGACGTCTGCCTGCTCAGGAGGCCCCCGAATGCCTCCCGCCCAAAAGGCAAATTGCGAATGACCCAGGCGCGACCCCAGTCAGTGGTATCCCTTCTGCCAATGGGACATGCAGGCAGCGCAATTCAATGCAGTGGGGTGCAAGGCGAAGTAGAAGCAGCACAGCAACGAGTAACGTAGCACCACCTAGCCCCCCATGGCCTAGTAGCGCTGCGCATTGATGAATAATAATGCGATCAATAAATACCATACGACAACATGACATTGCAAGACATAGTGTCGCGGTACATAGGCTAGCACGACGTTGTGAAACATATCGTAGCATGATGTCAGTGCATGGCGTGGCGCGCCGTTGCGCTGCATATCATTGCATACTATTGCACGGGGTCCATAGCATGGCGTGACATAGCACCTGCCTTTGAATTGCATAACATGGGACTGTATATCCTGTCGTAGCGTTGCATCGCGTTGCATCCGCCACCGTGCCTGCAAGCACTGAGTGGAGTGTCCGCAGGTCCCTTAAGAGTCCTCCGCCCTGAGTCCTGACAGTTTGTCGAGAGGGCCCACAGCCTGGAATATCGGGAGCTTCGGGGCGCTCATGAGCGCTATCGTGCCTTGCGGCATGAGCCTGACGGGTCCAAGACGGGTCCAGAAAATCCCAACATGTCCCCGAGACGGTCCTAAAGACCGACGGGACCCGAGCTGTTGAAAGATCGCTCCAAGACGCTCGAGGTGGCCTCAATTCGGCCAGAGAGGCTTCCAAAACGACCCAAGAGAACTCCAAGAGGACCCCTAACAGGGCCTAAAGAGGCAAAGCACATCTCTTTGGCCTTTGAAGGATTTGGGCGTTCTCACTTTTTCCCAACCATCCTGTGGTGTTGGGCCCTCGTTTTAAAGAGACGGTGCCCCGCGTTCCCGCCTCCTTCCTCCCTCCCTCCTCCCCCTCCCACACCCATTCTGGCACACCCCTCACACGTTTCGTGGCCCCATAAGGAGCTCCACCGAAGGCCCCAGTGGCTGCGCTCGCATGCGGTTCCACCCCCCATTCTGGCACACCCCTGACACGTTTCGTGGCCCCATAGGGAGCTCCACCGAAGGCCCCAGTGGCTGCGCTCGCATGCGGTTCCACCCCCCATGTCGGCACACCCCTCACACGCTTCGTGGCTCCATAGGGAGCTCCACCGAAGGCCCCAGTGGCTGCGCTCGCATGCGGTTCCACCCCCCATTTGGCACACCCCTCACACGTTTCGTGGCCCCATAGGGAGCTCCACCGAAGGCCCCAGTGGCTGCGCCCGCATGCGGTTCCACCCCCCATTCTGGCACACCCCTCACACGTTTCGTGGCCCCATAGGGAGCTCCACCGAAGGCCCCACACACCCCCATTCTGGCACACCCCTCACACGTTTCGTGGCCCCATAGGGAGCTCCACCGAACGCTCCAGTGGCTGCGCTCGCATGCGGTTCCACCCCCCATTTCGGCACACCCCTCACACGCTTCGTGGGTGGCTCCATGGGGAGCTCCACCGAACGCCCCAGTGGCTGCGCTCGCATGTGGTTCCCCCCCCCATTTCGGCACACCCCTCACACGGTTCGTGGCCCCATAGAGAGCTCCACCGAAGGCCCCAGTGGCTGCGCTCGCATGCGGTTCCACCCCCTTTTTCGGCACGCCCTTCACACGTCTCGTGGCCCCATAGGGAGCTCCACCGAACGCCGCAGTGGCTGCGCTCGCATGCGGTTCCACCCCCCATTTCGGCACACCCCTCACACGCTTCGTGGCTCCATAGGGAGCTCCACCGAAGGCCCCAGTGGCTGCGCTGGCATGCGGTTCCACACCCCATTCTGGCACACCCCTCGCACGTTTCGTGGCCCCATAGGGGGCTCCACCAAAGGTCCCAGTGGCACTGCCCGCTTGCGTCCGCCACCACCCAGCACAGCCCTTGTTCCCTGCGCTTCACCCACCCAGACAGCGCTTCGTAGCCCTATAGGGAGCTCCACCAAAGGTCCCAGCGGCACCGCCCGCATGCGTCCGCCACCACCCTGCACAGCCCTTGCTCCCTGCCTGCGTTTCACCCACCCAGTACAGCGTTTCGTGGCCCCATAGGGAGCTCCACCGAAGGTCCCAGTGGCACCGCTCGCATGCGTCCGCCACCACGCAGCACAGCCCTTGCTGACCGCGTCTCACCCACCCAGTACAGCGTTTCGTGGCCCCATAGGGAGCTCCACCGAAGGTCCCAGTGGCACCGCCCGCATGCGTCCGCCACCACCCAGCACAATTGCGGCATTCACAACTGCATATGGTTGGGTCCTTCGCCAGGCTAATTTGGCAGAGAGCCCCAAGATGGCCCAAGAGGCCCCGAGAAGGCCTCAAGCGGTCCACAAGAGAGCCCCAGGAGGGACCCGCGAGGGGTCCAAGAGGGCCCCAAGAGGTGCCCTGGAGCCAAGATAGCCCTAGAGACCGCCTAGAAGCCCCCAAGACGCCCCGAGGGCACCCAAAAGATCCCAAGAGAGCACCGAGACGTTCCAAATAAGCCCAAAGAGGCTCCCCAAACGCCCCCAATAGGCCTCGAAGAGGCCCTCAAGAGGCCCCCAACTGGCCCCAAGAACCTCCCAAGAGCAATCCAAGAGTAAGACACCCCATGTGGCCCCCCGAGAGGGCCTCTGACCCACACTCCAGGCACAAGGGATCAAGGCCCGCCAGGATTGACATGACCCAAGTGGTGCCTCTTGGGTACCACGTGGGTCATATAGCTTGCATCCAAAAGGCAAGCATCCCAAAACGCTTCCGAGGGGCATCCCCAACAGAACCGGCAAGCATCCGAGTCACCTCTGTCCAAAATCCTGGCGCAAAGAAAAGATTAGCCGAAGGCCACTAAACAACACAGCCGCGCGTTACAACAAACCGTAACTGACATTGCGTTGCGAAGGTGGGTGTTAAGCATGTTGTGTAGACCACTACGTATGCTGCATACGATGTGTGCTGTGCGTTGCCATGATTTGTATATCACTGTGTTGATCACTATGTCTGCACGAGCCCTGGACCACCCTGGGGGGGGGGGGGGGGGCAAACCGCGATTTGTTCGAATCTCAACCAATTACCAATTGGTACGTAGACCAGCCAACTGGTACGAATCCGAACCAGCACGACAAGCAAAACTGGTGCAAATCCCGACCTGACACCGACTCTGGCAGTACAAATACATGTGCCAGGCTGTCGATGAGCAGGATGGGGCCAATCGACGTCCATATATATACACATGTTTCTCTGGTCTCATGGGATTTCCTGGGAAACCCCGAGACGTCCTAAGGAGGTCATTCGGATGATTTCTCGTGTTTCCATCTGTTTCTACATTCCCATGCAGACGCAAGGACTCCACAGATGTCTGGAGGAAACAACAGAAACCAGATGGTTGCCAGGGTGGAGTTGGTACCAATTGTTTGGGCTTCGCCCCGAAATGGCTGGAGTTCGCATCAGCTGGTTGAAATGCGTCCAACTCTTTGGACCCCCCCTGGGGACCCTGACGACTCCACAATAGGCCGGGCGCCCCGAGCGACCCTGGGGCCGGGACGTAGCCAGCCCTGGCCAACGGGCCCGTTGCACAGAATTCGAAGGAATTCCTCAGGACAAGCCTGCACTAAGAAAAATGC